TATTTTAGAAGATTTTAATTATTTAATTTATTTGGTTCTAATTACATATCACCGAAAAATTAATGAATTTTGGCATAATGAAAAACCCACAAAAACAATAAAAGAGCACAACAACGAATTCCTGTATCAGCTGCCGGACTAAAGTGAAAGGGGTGTTTACATCTTTATAAGACGTCTCGCCTCTTTATTTCGCGTCGGCGCACCAGAGCTGTTTTTTAGCCACCACATTGGTTTAAAATATTTTTTAAACCATACTTAAAGTGACGTCATGAATTAATAGATGGCAAAAATAGGGTGTTTTAAAAATATAATCTGCTGTCATATGACAAAATTTTTAATTAGGTATTCTGATTTCGATCGTATTTTTTTACTGATTGTTAAATCAGATGAAGGAAGATGAGTGTTTGATAGTGATTTTAAATAAAAATTGAAGTGTTTTTAATAGGTACATTGCAATCTGAAACGTTGTTTATTATTTTATTTTTGGAATTTTTCTTTTTAATAAACATGGCATCATATTTATTCCGTAGCTCCACAGATACGCGATTGTCTAACGATTATTTGCTGTAGATTTGTTGGGCTTTTCCAAAGCTCATCAACTGCCAAAGAACGTTTAGTTGCTTTTAAATATTTGCTGGCAAATTCAGAATCTGAAGCAAACTCCGTAATTATTTTTGTAAAATACGTAGAATTGATAAGTAATCCTTTAACCTGATTTTAATTGAATTACTGTTTCATAATCAAGAGTAACCCATAGGTAGATCACATTGTCCAACTGTTTATGATGACCATAAATATTAATATTTGTATTATAACTAATGTATGAATATGAATCACATAATATATGTATGAAGTTATCAAAAATCAATAAAAATCAAATATATCAAAATGTTCAAAGATGGAACAGAGCAAAACAACATACAACAGCCACAATCAGAATCTCTTATGTGTCAACCGTTATTGAACCATATGCCTCCGACTGGTTCAAAAATTCTAGCTTTGGTTTAAAATATTTCGTACGCGACGTCATAGTTGCATCACTAAAATTTAAACGGTTTAAAACAGTCGAAAATATTTTAAACCAGACACTCGCTAAAAAATACCTTAGAATTCGGTTCCCCAGCTGCCGCTACTCAACGGTTAATATACTTTGATAATATTATGTCAGGTGACAGATATAAAAATATTTTTGAATTTGTCAATTTGTTAAAAATTTGTATATTTTATATTTCAAAAGTTATTATAAGTATTTAACAAAATTGTGAAACGATATTTCGAAAGTTATTATAAGTATTTAACAAAATTGTGAAACGAATTAGTGATTAATCAGAAACTTTAATCCTAAACGTAGTTACCTATTTTAAGAGACCCTTTAAGAGGCCCTTGGAACGAGCTACAATCAAATGGCTGCAAATGCATTAAATATTTCTCAGAAAACTATATATAGAAACAAATGCTGATAGAGTATGTGAAAATAATGTATAAAAAAGTAAGCCAACGTAAAACAAAAGTCAATTCTTTAATATTAAGTAAGTTATATATAAGATGTACGAAGGAGTGTAACATGTAACAATGAAATTGTTACACAAACGATTTTCGAAAGAAATGCGTGATGTGAAATGTTCTGCACAGTCAATTATTACATGGATTCGAAAACTTGGCTTTTGCTTTAAAAGAATTAACAACAGACAGTTTTTATTGGAATGAACATCGATTCAGTTAAAAAAATGTCGTTTTTGAAAAATTTTAACGAGATAAAGCTGAGTAACAAGCCTGTATTTATGGAAAAGATGTGAATATGTAGCAAGGGAAGTGACAGAAAAAGTTAGCAAGATGGAACGATGGCTACTGCAAGTAAAAAAACAGGAGATGCAATTTGATACATAATTCTCCATGATGGCAATGAAGAAGGGTTTATAAAAAATGCAGACCTCATATTTAAAAGCGGGGATTACCTAAATAATATGAACACAGACAATTTTGAAAAATGGTTTAAAACGAAATTTACTCCTAGTCTGGAACATCCTTCTTTGATTATAATCGATAATGCCAGTTATCACTGGGGGTACGTGGAACCAATTCCATGTTATAGTTGAACTAAAGATAAAATGGTTAAATGGTTGCAGGAAAAGAACATTAATTATCCAATAAATGGTATGAAATATCAGATATGGGAAGTTGTACGTCAAAATCTACCAAGAAAAGAATTCCACCTAGATAGATATGTTAAGGAATATAGGCATACAATATAAAAAACGGAAGATGTATTTCAGACTTGCTCAGAAGCATTGAATAATGTAACCGATACTCAATGGGACAATTATGTAAAACACACTAAAAACAATTGTTTTATATTGGGAAAAATACAAGCAATTAGATGTTTCTGATCTAGAACCAATTATTATTAATTTACAATGCCAAGAAGTGATGAGTCTGAATCAGAGTCCAGTTGTAAAGAAAATGATATTGATTAAAACAATTTATATGAGTTATCCAATAAATATTTTCTGTGCCTCTTGTTATAATTTATATTTTTTAACAAAGAATCTGTTTTGGATTATTTTTAAAACACTCAAAACGCTAAAAACCAATGTTCAGCTGGCAAATTTATAAAGTAAGAATGTAAATTGTTCTAGTATTTGTAGATAAAATGTAATCTTAATTTTTCAAAGTGACTTCTTTTATTCGTGTAAACCCACCTTTATAAAGTTTACGCTGCTGAGCAACAACAAAACGCACTGAAATAAGAAGAAGAAGACATATGCAGACTGTAACTAAAAATGTCATACTCTTTTGTCAGAGGACTTGGGGTATTTCTATTACTTTATAATAAAATTAATCTTTTACGGAACTAATTGGAGAAAATATGGAATATACCTGAAATATTGAGGCTTAATCAAAAATGGTATAGCCATCCAAATGTGCCACATATAATTATCAGCTGTTAGTTAAGTACATGATCTATGATTATCGATTATTAACGAACTATAGTTATGTATAGGGAACGATTTGTCAGCGATATTATTAATAAAATCAAAACTCTAAGAGTTAAGGAATCATTTTAGATATACGAGCTCTAACACAAAAATGTTCGGACATCAACTGATTTTGCGAAAAAGTTTGAAAATTTCCTTAAGAGATTCAATATCATATGTTTTACATTTATAAAACATAATATGTATTGTTTACATCATATTTATGAAATTGTTTTCAAATAAACTAATATTGATTAATAAAACTAATGTTGATAAAAATGCAATATTTGCTGACACAAATGTTCGGACACGTTTTCTTTTTTTTCCTGGGCTCGTCTGACTAAGTGTCTCCGAATAACACTGAAGCCTATTGGCTTATTGTGTTTTACCCCATGTTAGTTCATAGCACCCACTCTATCACCTTTGTACCTTGTACAAGTTTGTACAGATCCTTGGGTGAGTGGGTTCTATACGTTGTTGGATCAACCTGGGGTTGTCCAAAAAGAGCCTGTCTTTTGCGATCTAGAGCTTCGAATTCGCACAGTATGTGTTTGGCCGTTTCTGGTTTCTTGTGACATAGTCGGCACATGAGTTCCCCATTGTACTTGCCAATTTTGTTCAAGTGTCCCTTTACTGGGGCGTGCCCAGTCATGAACCCTGTTATCACTTTCAACTGGTTCCTATTCATTAAGAGTAGTTCTCCAGTTCTTTTGGGGCATGGTCTGCCTATGAAGGCTTTTCCATGTGCCTGTTTTGGGGTGCTTCCCCAATAGTTGATATGTTGTTCCCGAATCCAGTCATTTATAAAACCCCGGACTGTACTTTTTGGTACTCCGGTGTTTCTTCTGACCCTCTTTTTGCAAGTTCGTCAGCCTTTTCGTTGCCTTCGATCCCTTTGTGACCTGGCACCCAAAATAGTTTTACTCTATGTCGGTCTGCCAGTGTTCTTAGTTTTTCGATGCATTCCCATACCAGCCTCGACGTAACTTTCTGACTCGATATGGCCTTAAGTGCCGTTTGGCTGTCTGACATTATTTGAATATGCTGATTTTCGACAGCTCTTTCATTGTTTGTTTTTGCACATTGCAAAATTGCGTATACCTCGGCCTGAAATACCGAGAAATGTATTCCTATAGCATAGCTATGGTTAGTATCAGGGTTTTTGGAGAATACTCCTGCCCCAGTGCCTTCCGCAGTCTTAGACTCGTCTGTATACCAGGTTTGTTCCTGTCGTTGGGCATTGGGCTCCCTTATGGTGATCTCCGCTCTTTCCTGTATTAAAACCTCAAAGGGAGTGTTAAAAGAGTACCTCTTGGTTATGTGGTCTGATCTCATGTCTAGCACGTCTCCTGTCACTAAACTTGTGATACTCATGTGACCTGGCCTAATGTCAAGATTTCCCAGTGTATTCCCTAATCTGTAAGCACCTAATCTTGCCTCCCCTTGTATCACATAGTGAAGAGGTGGGAGTCCTATTAGTGCTTCCATTGCAGCAGTGGGGGTTGTTTTCATTGCCCCCGTTATTCCGAGGCAGGCAAGTCTTTGTACCTTGCTTAGCCTCGTTATTGCTTTCCTTTGCTGTGTCTTTGGCCACCACACCAAAGCTGCGTATGTTATTATGGGTCTCACCACCATGTTATAAAGCCAGTATACCATGTCTGGTTTTAACACCCATTTTTTTCCAAAGGATCGCCTTGCCATCATTAATGAGGTTTCCGCTCTCCTTGTGGTTCTTTCTAGATGCTGGTTCCAGGTAAGTCTCGAGTCAATCATAACCCCGAGATATTTTACCTCCCCCTTAAGCTGGATGCTTGCACCTCTTAGGTTTAGAGGCCCTAGTCTCTCCAATTTCCTGAAAAATCAGTTGATGTCCGAACATTTTTGTGTCAGGGCTCGTAAAACACCATGTAAAATAATATTATTTTTATAACGTATACATGTGCTATAATTTTGAACGTAAAACAACCATTGTTTTCAACATCAATTGGAACCACAGGTGTATATAATTTTAGTCTTAATTTACAGTTATAGCCATGCAGTTTGCCATAAAGCTGGAGAAGCATCGTCTTCTTGAATTAAAAGAGAAATTGGAAAAAGAGCGACTTAAAAATAAAAGGCTTTTAGGCTTAAAATCTCAACCTGTATTTAGTCGTTCATCAGTCCAATCCGATGTACTACCAAAAGAGGAAAATCAAATGAAGCATCACCATATGTACGTAAGATTATATTTTGATCAAAATTGCTTGCATAAATTATTCTTTTTTGCTTCATGGTTAGTTATAATCGACCGAGTTTCTTTGAAATATAAGTACTTTTGGAGTATCTACTACTGTTAATATCCATTGAATTCTATAGAAAAGAAGAAGACAAAAATTGTCTCCAATGCTTAAATATAACATGTTAAGGTAGTTACTCAAAAAACGGCTTTTCTTAAAAATTCAATAAAATTAATATACAAGGTTAATGAAAGTGTCTTTTACGTAACTAAAAAAAATTAAATTTTTTGACTGTCTGTGAAACGAGATATTAACAATCAAAATGTGCGTAATTAATACTCTTGAAGCCTGTCATGTACACAAGCAATGCATTTATTTCAAGATATCTCGAAAACGGTTCTTACTATATTTTTTAAAAATAAATGTAATGAAATTGAAGAAGTTATAATTTTTTTTTTAAAAATGCTTAAAGCAGTGAATGATAGACCTTTGCCATAAAACTGTGATATCATGCATATTCAAATAAACTATAGTGGGGTACAATGATTACAATTTGGCAACATTGTAATCGCTACACTTGACGCGCAGTAACTCAAAAGTCTGTAAGATTACTTTAGGTTTGTTTGATTCTTTCGCAAACTAGTTCAGAATCACTGAATTACACTCGATTAGCTAGGAGGTTGTTATAACCTGTGTTCTTGAAAAATGAAGTCGTCCACTGTATTTGAGAATTGGAGTCGACGGTTTTGTTTGAACCAAAACAAACCTTTAAAATAAGTATGAGGAAGTCACAAATTTCTATTCGCGATTCAAGCTAAGTGATACGCCCTCTGGAGGAAATTTGTTGAAGTTTCCTATAAGTGGGATATCGCTCAGTGTTGCCAGAAGTAGCAAAATTTCGCTACGTGGTCGGATTTTTGCTCTTGAAGAAGTGAATAAGACCTTTTATTTAAGAATCAAAATTTGTATCTAGTAATATGTAATCATACTCTATATTTATTTAAGAATATTTTTATAAAACCGATTTATTATATTCATTTTTTAAAATTTCAGTTCATTTATTAATTTTGTTTTAAAATCAGTTCATCATTTGGCAACAATGGCGTTCGTGTTCTTTGTTTACATTTTAATTTGTATCAAATACAGTTCGAGTTTTTTCTTACTTTTTAGCTTTAAATTTGTTTATTTGTTATAGTATGTGATAGTGTTTATATTAAAAATGAAATCTGCGGAAAAGTCCCCAGCAAATCTATATGGTGTTAATGTCAAAATCAAAACTGAAGTATTTATTATTTTCCAAGTGCAAGTCGTAAAATGTTGTTTTTTACGATAAATGGATATCTACGAATTCACAATACTGAAATTTTGCAAAACTTTAGAATCAAACTGTAATCTGATTTGTGACGATTGTATTACCATTTACATGTATACAAAGTACTACATAATTCACTTCATAATATAAGAATAAATCTAGTAAGATTTTTAAATAAGTTTATCAATAATGAACGTTTGGTACCTGAAATGTCCTTTAAACCACATAATAAAACATGTTCTGGATTTAGTAAATACATATTTCTAGATGTTCTTGTAGCAAATAATAGGTGAATATTTACAATAAATTAAGTCATACACATGATAAATATTAGATTTATGACGAAAACACGAGACTTAAACTTAAATTAACACTAAATGAAACTCAAAACATTATTACAATGAGTATATTATCTAAAATCAGTTAATAAAATCACAAATACAAAATCCGCCCAAAACAAACACATGTAAATGAACAGAAATCCCACTTATAGGTGACAAATGACAGGCGCGCGAAAATTAATTTGAATCGCGAATATATATACACACTTTCTTGATAGCCCACCATTCATATATTTGCGACGCTGCCGGATGGATTTTATTTGAAATAATAACGTTTTTGTAAATACATATAGTGTGGAACAGCCAAATGGAATAAATTCGGTAATAAATAACTGGGGGAGTGTTCGGAAAAACGCTCGGATATAGCGATTGGTATTTTTAGTTGTGCATAAAAAAAACTTTTTATAACATATTTAGACAAAACATACAAAAATGGAAAATAGTACAGGAAATGAAGTATAATAATGGTTATCCTAAATAATGCCCTTTGATATCCTGAATTATAATGTAAAATATATCCAATTCCTGACTTATCTGATTATAATTACTACACATATTATATAACGCCCAAGTAACAATTTGATATTTTATAAAAGCTGAAAAAATGTTTACAGAACAAAATTTATAAAATAGAATATTAGCTAAGAACATTTCCGGAACATTCTTTCAACAGTAATAAACACAAAATGGGCGCAGTATTACAGAACTATTTGGTTCTTTTGTAAATTCTATAAGATTTGTTGAATGCAGTTACCGAACAGTTACTACACATTTACACAGACTTTAAACAAATGTTTTTTTAAACTTTTATAACTGTTTTATAAATTTTCAATTTTGAGGTTAGGTTGCATATCAAAATCAGTAACATTTTAGTTTTTTAAATGTGTCTGGTGAAAACAAATTAATTCTATATTTGTCATAAAAGTAAATTCAAGGCGATATTAGTAAAATGGCAGTATTTACTTAAGAGATATCTATAACGCGGTTTAAACATAATGTATGACCTACAATAAAGTCGTTTTTGGATGCGCAGCAAGAATTACTGTTAATTATATAGCACATACAATACTAAATTTTTAAGCGCCTCGAGTTTGATTCATATTTCTAATACTTTTTCAGTGTGAAACAAAAATTAAATTTATGCAATTTGATTTTTTTTAGTAATAAGATTATGCTAATATTACTAATGATTAAAATCTTTAATTTACATTGGTTTTGTCTTAAATACTAGTAAAACCGACAGTAGATTTAGCTTTAAAACTGTCTTAGGTTTTTGTTAAATATGGCGGCTATTCAGAGGTATTAGAAAGTTATTTTAAGACTGAATCATAATTATAAAATATTATTGTAGTAAAAACAGCTGTAATACAATAATTAAGTTGTATTACTTATTTCTACAAAACAAGTTCATCATGGTTTGTTGTATAATTGTTTCATATTTCTGCACTATATGACAAAATATAACATAACCTTACTAAATCGTTTCCGATTTAAGTATTTGATAATTAAAATGATTTGTTTCTACAGCTTTATAGAGCAAGCATAATTTTTAATATTACGATAATAAGCAAGTTTAACATGGACATCGCCAAAAATATGGCTTTCTTTTAGTATTGGGGCATGATTATTCAGAACATACCTAATTATTATCTGGCTGAATGATAGTTTTTTTTTTTGAGTGTCTAGACAAACCATCAAAATGTTTTACTAATATTTTTTACTGTTCTCTGAAAAGCAGGTACCACTTATTTTTTACATTTCTTCACTATTTAAATTTGACATTTTCAGACTATACACTCACATACAATTGGTATGGAAAGTAGTTGAACAAACATAAAATACAAAAATAATATGGCGTAGGTACTACCAAATGTAGTTGCTTTATTTTTTTATAAATATTTTTAAAGGGATAATACTATTCCTAACTAAAATAATTGTTATACAGTTTTCTGATTTGTAATAGAGTATTTCGACAATATATTACAGTTATTTTAGAGTTTTCATCAGAAGCAAATTGCTATTGATGCGGAATTATCTCACACTAATATTTATATAACTATTTTTTAAAGCGTTATTATGAGGTTAAGAAAGAGTTATATTTGTATGACCAAAAAGTTCTAAAGGTAATCCAGAACAATAATATAGAATAACTATAAAGCAATTTTATTTTATAAGCTGAAATATTGTATAGAACAGTTGTATAAATGTTTATGTAACAATTTCGTAGTTATCGTGAAAACTATTTTATAATTTTGCTGTAAGAATATTGTAAAAACTAATTTATATAACTATTTAGTTTCAGAGAACAAAATAGTGATTTCTGCAACCGTAGTACAATAAATTAGCATTCCAGAAACAGCAATATAATATCAATAAAATATAATAGTCTTGTAAACTAAAAATTATAAAGCTACTTTGTTAGTTGGGCGGTGAGTCTTTAAAATATTAGTACGAGCTGTTGTTGAGTAAAATGAGTCGGTGTATCTTGAGGCTTGACGTGAAACTTTTAAATTAGGCATATGTAATAGACATTCGCAGTTTATTTGATTGCTTATGACTTTATACAGAAACATATTTTCACCTTATATCGAGACTTGAAAATCCATGTTTATTTAATAAAGCGTCGTGTGGGGTTGCCAATGGAACTAGATGATGTCTAAAACTTAAGTATTTTAGGAATCGTCTCTAAATTCCTTCCAATCGACCAATGTGCACTTGATACAAAGGAATTCATATAAGTGACGCGTATTCAAGCTTGGATCGGACAAAAACATAATACAGACATTTAATGGTATCTACTTTCTTAAAATCACGACTGTTTCTGAATATGAATCCATATGTACGATTAGATGAGGATGCAATACTATTGACATGGTCAGTAAAAGAAAGTGCTGAATCAAATAGGATTCCTAAATCTGCAAAGTTTTTTAGTCTGTTTAAGGGAGTTTCGTCAACAATATACTGTTAAAAAGTTAGATCTGACTTTAAGGAGTACGACATGATATTACACTTGGCTGGATTCAATTTTAAATTATTTCTATGAAACCATTCATTAACTTTTGTTTTAGATTTTCAGAAAGTCGCTCGCAGTCAGCAATACTATTTATGGAAGCATACATTTTAAGGTCATATTAGCATACAGTAGATAATTAACATTAATTATACTGCCAATGTCATTTATAAAAATATTAAATAAGAGCGGGCCAAGATTAGACCCTTGAGAAACACCCGATGTGGCAAGGTACAACAGACTTGAATCCATTGAGGTGAATGTATTATGAACGGTTACACAAATATGATTTTAGTAAGTCAATAAGACCATCTGAGAGTCTAAAAGCAGACGAGTTTTTAGTAAAATTCCATGGTCAAGTCTGTCAAATGCTTTAGTCATATCTGTATAAATAACATCAGTCTGAATACGTTCATCGATATTTTCTGCTATATGCTGAGTAATGACTGAGAGATTCGTTACTGTTGATCAACCTTTCACAAATCCATGTTGTTGAGTGGATAACGCACTACTTATATGTTGATAAATACTGCGTTCTAGTAATATTTCTAATACTTTACAAAAATTGCAAATAATAGAAATAGGTCGGTAGTTCTTAACGTCAGTTCGATTTCCATTTGCAAAAATAGGACATACTTTAGAGCTCTTCCACATGGATGGAATAGTACTAGAATGGATGCAGATATTGATGGGGATTGTCAGAGGATAAGCCAATCTTTTAAAATGAATGCAGGAATATGGTCGGGTCCCGTAGTACGCTTAGGTTTTATAGATTTTAATGCGTCAAGTACCTGGCTTTCGTCAAAGCTGTCACTATTTAAACAGGTTAATTGAAGTTCATTTACATCAACATGAGAAACTTTAGAATGAACGTAGGACTTGCTAAAAAGATCGGCAAAACTATTTAGTATGTCAGCTGGATTATCCAGTGTATTATTTTTATAGGTCATGTTATTAGCAACTTTACTAACTTTTTCTACTGTTGACGTAGCCCCAAAAATTATTAGAGTTAATAGATATATCATTCTGTGTTTTTAAAAGATAATTTTCATGTGCTGTTTTAATCGCAATTTTAACTTCAGCTCTTATGCGCTTTAATTTTTCGAAAGCCTGATATCATTGTCTTTTTTATATTGACGCAAATTTTGATTTTTTTTTAATGATACTGGGATTAAACCAAGGATACGTTTTTTTATTATGCACTGAATAATTGGGTACGTAACATGCAACATCCTGTATATTTTCAATTTTTGGATTCTTTAGAAAATTCTAGACATTTTATGTCCTATATCTGTTTCGGAAATATTAATTGTATTCTGATTATTGCAAAAATTAACATTAACAAAATAAAATTGTTTGATTACAAAAATTCGCTACAACACACTCAATACTTATTTCCCATTAAGGTCTTGATAATGATATGAAATAAAGAAGCTATACTTAGTTTTGTTTACTTTTGTTTAAAACGCCTGACCTTATCAAATTGTTATCTGACTGCATGACAGTAGTTGTTAGTCAGTACAATTATAGTCGTTTAAATTTCCTTAACTGCATATCAGAAAAATGGTTCATTTAACAGAAATGCATAAAATAACAATTCTACAGATGATTGGTTATTGAGATAACACACGGACACAAATGGAAGTTGCTCGCTTATTTCATGAAAAATTTCCAAATTTGCCGCGTATATTCCAAGGAACAATTAGTAAAATAGAGAAGCAGTTTCGCGAGCTTGTACATGTAAGGCAGATAAAAAACAGCTACCAATGCTATAACTAATGCTATCAAATTGGATATTATGCTTGAGTTTCAGGAAAACCCACATACTTCTAGTCGACGAGCAGCCCCAATGTTTGATATTAGCGATTCATCGATTATTCGAATATTAAAAGAAAATAAAATGCATTCCTATATAATAATCGTAACTCAGGAGCTCATGGAAGACGATTTTGTGAACAATGTTAGATAATATGGTGATCCAATTAGAACATGTTTTGTTTTCTGAGGAATGAACCTTTACACTTCACGGTCATGCTAATCGTTAAAATTGCCGCTATTGGTCTAAAGAAAATCATCACTGGATGAGAGAAGAACATACGCAATATTCTGAAAAAGTTAATGTTTGGGCAGGAATTGTTGGCGATCATATCATAGGACCTTTTTTCATTAATGGCAATTTGAATGGCGATAATTATTGGTTATGGTTTCAGCAAGATGGAGCACCGCCCCATTACCAAATCAATGTCCGGCAGTACCTCAATCGAGTATTACCAAATCGGTGGATAGGGAGACGAGGATCGATGGAATGGCCAGCACGATCCCCTGATCTGACATCACTAGACTTTTTCTTATGGGGATATGTCAAAAGTATTGTATACAAAATAAAACCTCTCGACCTAGCTGACTAAAGAAAACGAATAACGCTTGCGATTAGATTGGTCACGCCTAAGATGTTAAATAACGTTAGAAGACATTTTTATTTCAGATTAGGATGTTACCTACCAAGAGGTTCGCGGCGAGCATTTTAAACATCTCCTACATTAAGATGTGTTTTTTTGTTACATTATCAAGAAATAAACAGTATTACTTATTAGTTTTTGGGTGTGTTGTAACGAATTTCTGTAATCAAATTATTTAATTTTATTAATGTTAATTTTTCTAATAAATCGAAAAACATTTAATATTTTCGAAACAGATATAGTTTTCTGAAGAATCCAAAAATTAAAAAGGTAATTGCATTTAAAATAAGAAAGTTGGTATTTGCCACTGTAACATGATACATCCTGTGTAAAAAGTTTTTGTTAAAAGAATGCGCCACTAAAAATACCAATCGCCGTGTCCAAGCGGTTTTTGGAACACGCCCCCATTTACTCGTATTTATTACCGAATTTATTCCATTTGGCTGTTTCACACTATGTAATAGTAGTTTGTGCAAGAAGAGTGACATATCGCACGAAGACGAAATTTGAGCATATTATTACATGTGTTGTGTACAGTACTTACAAGAAAAACATTTTTTAGCATTGAGAATCTCGAACTTTTGGTATTCACCATTAGGCTATATTTTTGTGTATGACTATTGCGAGTAAACTACCTTAAATAAACAATTTATGACTTCTCTTAACCTCTGCGCGATCACTTTTGAAGCTTGCGTACTTATCAGTTAATTTTGACAGTTTTAATTTTTATATTTCTTTTCTAGAAGCTCTATAAAATATTTTTTTCTACGATCACCATCCAAAGTACGCGGTTGAGTTTTGAAATTCAACCGCAAAGTTGACGTTTTCCGCGAACTGACATTAAGTGGCAGCTGTATCGATCGCCAAGCTTGACAGCTTTGTCGCTCGCCTATTTAAAATTAGATATAATATAAAATTTCTTTTTAATAAATGCTTTTAAAGGTATTTGCACAGTTTATAAGAATCAGTTCGCTCACTCTGCGTCGGCACTTTTGATCTCAATGTTCCAGTTTATGCAATGCGCAACTCGGATTTGTATCCCTGGCGCATACAGAATCAAATCATAACCAATACAATATATGACAACCGCCTATATTCAAACAGCAGTCTTCTGCGCATCCTGAATTTGTATCCCTGGAGTGGATATTATTTTGGAACATTCACCTGGTCCAAGTGAGCTAACTGATTCTTTAGCAATAAACTGTGGTATTTGTACCTAGTTTGATGTTTTGTATTTTATTATCCAAGTTAACATTGACTTTGAACATCAACTCCTTTTTTCATGTTTATAACGTAGATATAGGCATTACATTATACACAACTTATGACAAATTTTCAATTTTTATATCTATTTCTTAAAATAATGTTATCGTAGAAAAATCTTGTATGCATTTTGAGCGAAAAGTTCGTTGTCGCTTTCGTCACGTGGCCACTTTTTGTCTCAAGCGGCAAAGTATCACTTTTCGCTCTTAATACACAAATAACTATTATGTTTTCTTTTCTTTTTAGAAAGGACAAAAATAGTAAACCTAGAATTGTTGAACATCGAACCAGACATACTAAAAAAAGAGAATCTTCTCAAGTTCATGAGGTAATTACCTTTTCTTTAATATTAACTGCCTAGCGGAGTTGGTTTTATGTATTTTTCTCGTCCGCTTTTGCCCTATTTGTCCATTTATTCATAAATGGGCTGCTTTGCTGTATGAGCGGAAAGTTTGTGTAGAGATAGTTCAGTACACAATAATATTGTTAATATAAATTAAGGTAAATGTACCTAATTCAGACAGTTTTAGCGGTTTTGCCGAAGTATTGGACTGTATTATATTTGTTTTGAAAGTTTTGTAGAGTTAAATATCATTTGCACGCTCAGTGGTCTTTTAAAAATTACGTATTTATTTTATATATAAAAAGTGGAGAATTTATGTTGAAATGTATCTAAACCTAAATTCGACATAAAACTCCATGTTCTGACTTAAATTCTACAAAGTCAGGTACACCTATTTCCGACATGTTAAATTTTAGGTTTGAAACAAGTTCTTACTTAAAGGAAGTAAAAGAGAATGCTAAATTTAATTTTTTTCATAAAATACCTCTGTTATTAACTTCTAACGGTACCTCAATTTTATCAACAGTTTCATCATAATCATGCCAAATTTCATCAAGTTCTTAGGGCCACTTCTATTATTTTTTTACAGCACTTGGCGTCATTGTATTTATAAAAGCCTGGTTTTTATTTTTAAGTTTCTTTACAGTACCTGGAAAATATATTCTTCCTTTTTTATATAATACGCCGTCCATTGATCGAAAGTAGTGACCGCTGATATTTTCTCTTTTATTTAAAAAGTATTGTTTGTAAGACGAAACCTTCATCTTTAGAAGATCTTCGCCACCGAATAGTGCAAGCATGTGGAGAAATAACCCCTGAAATACTCCGAAATGTTCGGAAACATGTTAAACGAAGACTTTATTACTGCATAGAAGTAAAGGGGTCGTAACATTTGATTAATTAAAACTTATTTGGACAGTTTTTCTTTGATTTATATCACTGACAATCGCAACATTAATTTTAACACAGAACAAAAAAAATTGTCAGCATGTTTGAAAAGAGAATTGAAATACCGATGTACCCCTTGACCCCTCGTGTCATTTAGTATTCTTAAAGTGGTTGCCACCCCGTTCAGGGAGATGAACCTACATCCATGAATTAAAGATCAAAAGATGCCATCCCTGAAATCAAAATGGACTGGTCTCGGGGATTTCTCAACAAACTTCTCCTAGGAAAATATCTCAGGTGGACTGTTTTAATTGGGTCACCGTGTATGCAATAGGTCTATATATGTGTTACAGAATTACAGGAAAAGCTTCACAGCTAAAACCAGAAATTTATTCTGGAAATATAATTTAAATTAAACTCGTTTGGAAATTCCAGGCTACTTATTACATATAGAAAACTTCTGCTGTTGCATCTGAATATTTGTACTACTGATTTCAAATTATTTCTATTATAACAATAGTAGGAGAGCTCACTACCAATTTTGGCCGTCATCTGATAACGAAATAAAATATGCTCCAAGGGCATGTAACAACATTGTACTTTACCAAACGGCACCTGTGCTTAATCACTATCCTGAGCAAGAAGGTTAAAAAATTTATTTTATAATTAAAAAATCACATAAGATATGACAGCGACAATTTTGTTTGCCCTGAGAATAACAATTCTAATTCATTGTGAACCTTACTTTTAAACCTGAATTATTATTATATTTTCCTTACTTTTTAGGGTTTAGGTTTAGGGTAACCAACGGGACCCTATTACAAAGCCTCGACTATCCGTTTGACAGTGGGCTGTATCTCATGATCCGTAATAGGTAGACAGTTGCCGCTGTAACAACAAATAATAATATATAAACTTTTTGGCTCTTCTTGGCTTTTTTGGCTTTTTGCAAAGACATTACAACATAGAGAAAAAATGTTTTTATTCATAAATCCCATAAAATTGCGGACTGTTATTGTTTTAAAATTGTTAGTGAGTGGAAGAGAGAAAGACAGATCTCTTAGGACCGGCTGGCAAAGTTGTAAACAGTGTCCATAATATGCTCGCCAGTGGCGTAGAGTTTTAAACTTACCAGTATTGTCAGAGTAATATGTTAAAAAAATAAGGAGGTATATTTTTTTAGTAATATAATTATGATGATATTTTCATGTAGGTAAATTCAAATACAATAAAATTCAAGTTACCTTCCGATTTTTAATATTTATTGGTTTATAGTTTATCTGCATTTACTATACAGGGTGTCTGTAAAAGGTCTTTACAAAAACATACCACATATTCCTTAGACCAAAATAAGTCGATTTATGTAAAATTACCTTAGTACAAAGTTGCTTCGTTTGGGCTCCAGCGGACCTTGAAGTTACAATTTTTAAATCGTTTTTCCCATTTAAATTTATAACGGCATATGCGATTTTGCTGAAATTTGATATATTGGTAGAGTTTTATGTGGCAAAAAAATGGTATTAAAACTTTGTCCGATAATAATACATAGGCGTAGAACTTGATTTTTTAAATAATTGCACCTTTAAAAATTCTACGCCAATGGAACCTAACCTAATCTCTTGTTAACGATTGAAAGTGTTCCATCTGACTCAATAATTAAAAAAACAAATGCGTGGTTTATTAATATGGCTGTACAATATACCAATGCAGAATATACCGATATGTTACTGACATTAGGATTTTGTGAAGGAAATGCTCGAGAGAGTGTCAGGGTTTACTCTTCCGCATTCAACAGAGTTTGTTTGGGTTATGCGGGGAAATAGGTAGACACTATTTTCAGTGTCGCATCATTTTTACGGGGTTTGTAATTAATATAATTAATAAATTTGATACATACCTTTAAAATACTTTAAATTATGCACATATTTTATAAACTTGCCTTATTTAAATAGGTATTTAGTAATAGTAAACTATTATTAATTATTAATATTATTTGTGTTGGATATATCAGATTTTTTTTTAAACATCAGAAAGTGTATAACGGAAAAATGAAGGTTGAAATAATAGGCAATAATAAAGAAAGAGCTTATATTTAAAAATAAAAAATAGATTACTAAATAATATACTACAAATAGAACTCAAGCTAATACTTAGGTACTAAAGTACATTTTACTGCCAGTCATTAACAAATGAAGTGAAGTTAGGCTTAATTTTTATTGGAAAACTGTATTATGCTTCGATTATTTCTTAATGACTAGGAGTACGAATAAGAGAAGCTTAAAATAACTTTTTTATTGAAAAACTCACATTAGGCTTTGCTTATTCCTTAACAATTAGCAGTCTAGTTAATTAAAAAACATAGGTATATTTATTAAAAAATAATTATTGTCAATTTTTGTGGTTTATAAAAAATATAGGTAGTAATAGGTAAGTATTTGAAAATAAAATTTATGTTGTATTAAAAAGTACTTAGTTACTTGTATGTTTTTCTTTTTCTGCAACAGAGGCTTCATGGTTCAGATCATCACTGAAAAATTAAAAAATTTGAACAACTAACCCACAAGAAAAGTGCAGGGTTCTTTATCTTTTACATTCATCTTCTTCTGGGGCCTTAGTAAATCTTAATGGCAATGCACCTGGAATTAATCTAATTCTTCCTCCGCATCCAGTTTTTGACATAAATATATATCCAGAAAAATGATTGGAACATAAAACATCACTATTTGAAATGTTTTCTAGTTTCAATATGTTTCACTAAATGCGTTTTTCGGCAGGATTAGTTGGAAACCTACAAAAAAACAAAAATTATTGATTTAACATCTTTAACATTATCATGATAAAATGACTTAAAAACGAAAAGCTTGTTTATATTGAAAAATTATGATTAATTTTTTTTTTAACTTTTCAGAGCCCAAAATCTAAAACAATATTCTTCATACATAATACAAGTTCTTTAAATTTAATTCACTAAATTTACGATTTATTTTAAATTCATGTTTAACGGCCTTTTTCATAAAATGTAGGTACTTATGTTTCTTTTAAAAAAATGGTAGAGACGCTAATTGTTACTTACTTGTAAAATGACCTTGGCGATGCCTTTTTGTATTTCTATTTAAAACTTACACAAACTCTTACCATTGTTTAAATTTGTATCACTAAAGTAATAAAATACAAAAAATCACTCATAAACTATAAAAATAAGCTATAAATTGATAAAAATCAAAAATCAAATGACAGTTCTGACAATTTCGAACGATTTGACATGCCAAGCAAAACGAAACAGACCAATGAGAATGCTGGACACTATTTTTCCCCCCTGTACCAAAACAAAGCCCATTTGGACGATGGCTCTAGTAATATATGCTCGAAGGGTTTACTCTGCAAGGTTTCCAAATCGTCGTGTACCTAGCCACCCAACTTTTGTTGCTGTTCAGAGACGTCTTCGGGAGACCGGTTCCTTTGCTTCCAACACTGTTGATAATGGAAGAGAACGTTTTGTAAGGATTCCTGAAGTTGAAGAAGACATTTTGGAACGTGTTGAAGAAGATCCAGAATTAAGCACCAGACGAATTGGAAGGGAACTAGGAGTAAGTAAAGATGTCGTTCATAAAGTGCTTAGAGAACAATTGCTATATCCATAGCATAAGAAGCCAATACAAGAATTATTAGTCCATGATCCTCAAATTCGTTTGGGTTTTTGTCGATTTGTTAATATGCAAAGAGAAAGAGATCCAAACTTTGTCAAGAAGGTTCTCTTTACCGATGAAGCGGGTTTTACAAGAAGGGGTATAACTAATACCCATAATGAACATGTTTATGCCATTGAAAATCCCCATGCAATAAAGGTAAACCATTTTCAGCACGAATTCAAAATTAATGTGTGGGCTGGAATAATTGGTAATTTCATTGTTGGTCCTGTCATACTTCCACGAAGATTAACTGGAGAAAATTATTTGGATTTTCTACAAAATACGTTGCCAGAATTGTTAGAAGATTTACCTCTCCAACTTCGGAGAGATATGTGGTTTATGCAAGATGGAGCTCCACCACATTTTTCTTTAAACGTTAGAAATCACTTGAATGAACAATATCCACACAAATGGATAGGCAGAGGTAATGACGCACTTGTAAACTAGTCACCACGTTCCCCAGACCTAACACCGATGGATTACTTTTTATGGGGACATCTGAAATCCACAGTTTACAGGGAACCTGTAGAAAATGAGGAACAACTCTGGCAACGTATTAAAGATGCAATAAACAATCTTAGAGGTGATGAAGAAGTTATGGAAAGGATACATTTTAATTTTCTTCGACGTACTTTGTATGCGTGAAAATGGTGAACATTTTGAACAATTTTTGTAAAATCTCTATTTTGATTATGTTGTAAATAAATATTTTTGTGAAACCTATACACTCTAAATTTCATACTCAAACTGCTTTTCTTCCATTGGCGTAGAATTTTTAAAGGTGCAATTAGTTAAAAAATCAAGTTCTACGCCTATGTATTATAAGCGGACAAAATTTTAATACCATTTTTTTGCCACATAAAACTCTACCAATATACCAAATTTCAGCAAAATCGCAACTTCAAGGCCTTCTGGAGACCAAACGAAGCAACTTTGTACTAAAGTAATTTTACTTAAATCGACTTATTTTGGTCTAAGGAATATGTGGTATGTTTTTGTAAAGACCTTTTACAGACACCCTGTATATTTGCCTGGTTATGTTATGCTGGGAATGGGGTGTTAATACACTGCGACCTAAAAGATTTATTGTGCCCCCTTCTGTCGCCAATACACCAAGGGAATGTCTCAATGCCTATAACGACCCTTCCAATCCTATATTCTCAAGGAAGTGTAGGATTTGAAGTGGCTTCAAGTTAGGTAAATCTCCCTCTTCTATTTGATACCCTCCTAGATATAGTGCCCTTAGATTCTGGAGTGCTACACATTCAGTTAGGATGAGAATGGAGGTTTCGTCCTCCTCCTCCTCCTCACAAAATCTGCACTCACTATCTACTACTTTCAGTTTACATAGTTGTCCTTTTAGTCGGTAATGCCCGGTAAGGATCCCTGTTACAATACGTAGCCTGTTCTTGCTCAGGCTGATGCAGGCTTCCGATCTTTTCTGGTTATATTCATCCAGAAGTATCTTGGCCTGTCTCAGCCCCAAGAGATTGTACCAATTATTATCGATTCTTCTACTATTTGCCTGGTATGATGTTAACCAAAATTATTTAAAATTTTAAATTAACATTAAGTAGGTAGGGGTATCTAAATAAAACACTGTCCTAAAAATATATAATTTTTTAAATAATAATTACAAAAAACATGGTATGGCAAAAAATATCGTAAAAAACTGTAAATTTTTTTAAAATAACGTTTTAAATATATTAAATACCTTAATTTTATTACCTAAAATTTCATTTAATTTTTTTATGCTTAGTAATTAGTGTTATTACTTACTGCAATGTTTTTTTTGCAGCAGGTGGTGTTCTAAAAACAGTTGAATCAGAACTTAAAACCCATACATTAGATATACATACATATAAGTAATAAATAATGTTTAGAGGTAAACAAAAAATTTATATTTTGTATTTTTACCTATTGGATAAGTCATCCAAAAATAGAAAGCCCTCACACCGCCTGGGGTTTGCATCTTTTCTGATATATTTAGCACCATTTGCATGTACCAAAACATCTTCAGGAAAAAAGTGTTCTGAACACTACTCTGGGTTTTTACGAAGGGGCTCATTTTTAAGGATCCCTACTAGAGAAAACCAAAGTATTTTTTTTCAAGATCTTGCGGAAACCTAAATAGAATATTAACAAATATATATAGGTGCCTAATAGGTAAATAATTTTTAAGATATTCAACATTTTACGTTAAATTTTCTTTGTCACTATTCAATAATTATTTATTGGTATAAGAATAATTTACTATTTTATAAAAGGAATATCACTTTAAAAACTGTTTTAAGACCATAATTCTTTATATTTTTTACAAAAGTTCAGAAAAATAGTATTTTATAAATGAATAAATCAATAAGTCCCATAGAAACTGTCAGAAATACAAAATAGCTGTTAGACCCGATTGTCAACGTTGCGGCTGGTTACGGTAACTACATTTTATTCATAAAAGTTGTAAATTTGTAAAATAAGATATTCAGCGTTGCCGTATTTACGGAGTTGTTTGCAACCCTAATATTTTGTTTAGATTAATGATTTTTAATAAAAATTTTATCTTATATTAAAACTTTAAAGAATAATTTGATTAAAACATATTTTTATTTATATAATATAAAATTATAGTTATAGGATACATCAAATTTTATTTTTCGAAAGTAATTTCTCCAAATAATTTTTACAGGCTAAATAAACCGGCAAAGACGGAATAAACGAGAATTTGGTGGGAATAATGATTTGCCACATAAAAATGTATACAATTTGGTCTCTTAGTTGTAATGTCTTTGGCTTTTTGCATTTTTTGTTCTTTTTTGTATTTTTTGGCTTTTTTGTTTCTTTTGCCCAATCTTAAAACAAAATTCAAAACCATGATCGTTTTGCTTGTGATTTAGTTTGTACTTTTTTGCAGAAGTTGAGGTCAAAAACATCGATATCAAATGAAACTCTTTTAAAAATGAATCTTAGCCAGGATGAAACAGATAAGCGACATAATAGATGTCGTTCACCAAGTAATACTCCTGTCAAAGATACAAATAGTCTCCCTTCGTCGCCTAAATTGTTACGTACATCGTTTGGTCCTGTAAGTAGAACACATTTTTTTAGTATTTCTAACAATTTATAAATAATATACATACACAATAGTGTACCCCATTAGTAGTAAAAGTATAATTATAAATTCGAGGACTGAATCTCTTTCCGGTTAACCTGGGAAAAGTAAAACTAAGTTTATTTACAAAAAAAATATTTATTTATAATTTTTCAAAGTATTCTCCTCCACGATCAATGCATTTTTTTTGTATCCTCGAAAATAATTCTTGAAAACATTTTCCCCAATAAACTAAATTGTAGTTCACTGTGGACACATATATAGTTAGTTCATTGTTTAACAGCCGTGTTCCACAGTGAATCAAGTTGCATTTTTAAAATTGTTCTATTTTTTTAAATTATAGTGGTCCTATGAATAGATCATTTTAATTCTAAATAAATTTCTCAACTTTTAGGATAAGTCTCCAAGACTGTTTTCCTCCAAATGAACGTCGTCATCTTCCTGTAAATCATTGGAACAGTTTCTGTAACAACAGCCTTTAGACGTTGTGATGTAATTTTTTGTATAATAATAAAAACATGTTCAATACATTGTTTGTTATGTTAAAAATAATATATAATCTAAGCTTTTAGCGAATTCCCGAAAAAAAAATCAATCCCATCTGAAGACCTCAGGGGAAAACGTGTTAAGAAATGTTTGACATCGAACTAATTTGAGAAAATAATAGGTAAAAGGGTATAATAATATCTATATAAAAGTCTGTACAGGAGAAAAACGTGACGAGTCGTCTTTGTCTTCATCTTTATCTTTATCGGTTGTAAGCAGATAGGGTTAGGTTTGGCCCAGAACACTGCGTCCTCTTGGGTCTATTATATTCCCCTGCTTTCCCCATATTCAGGTACTATCTTTGGAATAGTCCTGTGCCTTTGGTTAGTTTTAATAGATTCCCTACCAAGTGTTCCTGGGACGTTCTTTCCGGTTCTAGGCCGAAAAGGATGAAACGTCGCCTAGTAAGAGCTTCGCATTCTAAGATCACATGGTATGAGGTTTCTTCCTCTTTCATGCAGAGTCTACACGTAATGGGATCATTGTGTAATCCCATCACATGAAGGTGTTTCAGCAAGCAGTGCCCCGTTAGTAATCCCACAATGGTGGCTATCTGAGGCCTTGCGAGTTGTAGTGCCTCAGTAGCCATGCGTGGGTTTGGTCCACTTAGCATGAGCTTACTGATTCTGTGCCCTCTTATCTGTTGCCAGTGAATTTGGTGTTTTGTGGTCATCCACCTGTTTACTGCCTGTCCTGTGAATGGTAGATCTGATCCCTCTTTGGCGATACCTTTGTGCCCTGGTACCCACGCTAGTTTTACCTTGTTGTGGGTTGCTAGATCATTTAGTATTCCAAGACAGTTCCAGACAAGCTTTGACTTGATTCTGTTTGAATCAAGAGCCTTTAAGGCTGCTTGACTATCTGAGAGCATTAGGATGGTTTGTTTTTTGTACTTCTTAAATTCTCTCGTACACACAATTCGATTGCATGTACTTCAGCCTGAAATACAGTGGCATGTTTTCCCAGCGAGACGATGATGTCGCATTTGGGTTTAACTTCATGTACGCCTTGTTAGTTTTAGATCCATCCGTATACCAAACGATTCCGCTAAGCAAGTATTTATCTATCTCCTTATTTACCTCGTTCCAGTTACATTTGACCTGGAAGAGTCTGTTAAAAGTTAGGAGGGGTGTCATGTGATCTGATCCCATATATAATATAGAATCACTTACTTCATGTGTTATTCTGGTATTTTTTATATGTCCCAGAGGTTTCCCGTTGTTGGAGATTTCCAGTCTGTATGCACTCATTCTGGCCTCCCCCTTTATGACTAGGTCAAGGGGAGGGAGGTTTAGAATGATTTCCGTAGAGGCTGTCGGTGTACTTCTCAGTGCTCCTGTAATACAAAGGCATGCCAGCCTCTGTACTCCTGAGAGGGTATTGAGGGATGTTTTCTGGTTTACTTTTGGGCACCAAACAACCGCTCCATAAGTTATTATGGGTCTTATAATTGCCAAATATAGCCAGTGTACCATTTTTGGTTTTTTTCCCCATGTTTTTCCAAATGCCCGTCTCCCTACTATGAGAGACATTTTACATTTGTTGATCACTTTTTGTAAGTGTTGGTTCCAAGTGAGTTTGCCATCTAGGATCAGACCCAGATATTTTACTTGGTTCGTTTTGTTTAGCCTTTCTCCAGAGTCGGAGTTTCTAAAACCTCCAACCTTGTTTTTCGAGTAAAGGTTATGAGCTGTGCCTCGTCAGGGTTTACCAAGAGGTTTTCCCTAACGCACCATTTTTCTGTCAGCCTAAGAGCTCTTTGCATGAGTTCAAAGACTGTTGTTTGGTGTTTCCCTCGGATAAGGATGACTATGTCATCGGCATATCCTTGGGCGTACAGCCCTTGATTGTTTAGTGTTTTCAGCAGTTGATCTGCCACTAGGTTCCACAGTAGAGGAGAAAGGACTCCACCCTGTGGGCATCCCCTGTAGGGATATTCACCTGCATGGTTTCACTGAACATTTGTGCCTGTACTTGCCGTCCGCATAACATGTCTTCTATCCACCAGCAGATGGTGTCTTCCATTCCATGTCTGTAAAGACTTTAACCTTATTTAAGAGCTGTATTGGTATTTACTGCCTTAGTCTCTAGATTGACTTTGGGTGGCGCCATCAAAAGGCAATTTAAGGATACATGAAAACAAGTCATAATTTGTAAATATTTCTAGTTCCGAATCTAAGATGTCTAGTCATGAGGCAACCACCTCTTTTTAAATAACTCAATCAGTACTTCTCCATATTGAGTGCATTGCCCAAAATTTTAAGTAAATTTTTATTTAGCAACGGCCCTTCTGTTTCATTAAGAGAGTCGTCTTCTTTTTGATTCAAGTCTTAAAAGAAAAACTCAAAGTAGAACCATAAAATGCAAATAATTACAATTCACAAATGGTTGGATGTAAGTAACTGAACATAGCCATATCTCCCAATATTACCTAAACAATATTCTTAGTCTTCATATAAAATGTTTCTACATATATGACCAGCTATCACAAAAACATCCCATCTACGTTAATAAGCTGCAATTTTAGGCTCTTTAAGCTCACATGCGATGTACTTTTAATGTAACCCTAATATCACTGAAACCACCGAATGTCCGCAACGGCAAGACTTTTATAGCACATCTCACAGAGGTTACAAAGTGAAGTTCGGAAAACATCACACTAGCACTTTTAGGGTACTTACCCTGAAAGTTGCTCTGAAACTTTCTATAGATGTTATAATGTACTTACTTAATATCTTTATTTACATTTTAATAAAATATATGTACATGTCATGGTATGTATAAACAATTTTTCACACTACCGAACCCGAGCGGCGGGTTTTTCGCGAGAGCCCTCCGGACTATGGTGGGTAAGGATACCCACCATTTGCACAATACACCCACGACTTAATAATTGTGGAAACATATCAGCCCTTACTCCTTACCGAATCGGTATTATTAAGGGGTTTGGATTTTTTGGTATCAGGAATGGGAGGTTATTTAAGGATTTGTCGTGTATTTTGTTATTGTTTTTGTCCCCTGAAAAAGCTAGAAAAAACAGGGTTGTCCTTGTATGTGCGTTTGTTTGTAATCGTCTGTGGTTGTTTAGTACAACTCACAGGCAGAGTGTTCGATACACCGTCCATCGTGGCAGCTTTCGCGGATTTCGCGTCTGCTGCCTCGCTGGCCAGTCTACCGTTCAGTCCGCCTTCCGACCAGTATGCTTAAATACCTAGTCGTTGTGAGCTGTTGTTAGATTGTCTGGGATCGTTAAGGAGGAATGTTGTCAGTTACTGTCTGAATTTATTGTCATCTGTCTCTGTATATGTTAAGTTTTGCGTGTATACAGCCGTGCTTTCTACGCACTCCGTCCCCTCGGTGTATGTTTAGGATACTATCCTTTACATCATCGGGGAGACATCGTTTGTAGAAATCATCGGCTGTTTTTAGTATGTATTCTTTAATGTGTTGTGTGTCAGTTTGTCGGTGCATTACTGCGATTCTGGCATAACGATCATAGCCCAGGGCTAGCCGAAGACACCTGTTTTGAGCTATTTGCAGTTTATTGAAATGACAGTTTGCCATTGAGCAAAAAACTGGACAACCATATGTGAGAATAGGACGTAGGATTGATTTAAACATTAGGACTTTGTTTGACAGAGTGACTCGACTTCTCCTATTGAGAAGGGGGTAAAGCGTTTTGATTGCCGCGTGGTTTTTAGCCACTCTGTCATTAATGTGTAAATTGTAAGTTAATCCCCTGTCTAACAGGAAACCGAGGTATTTAAGTTTGTTAGAGGTCGGTATCTCCTGTTCGCCGATTTTAAGTGGGGTCATTATGCCTTGTGTTCGCCTTTTGGTGATTAACATACTTTCGGATTTTGCCTCGTTGATTTTCATTTTGTTTCCTGTTAGATAGGGGATTAGTTCTCTGTTAATATGATTGTCCAGCTTTCTTACCGCTCTCTCTGCAGATCTGTTGTTCGCGAACAGACAGATGTCGTCGGCGTATAGTGCCGTTTGTACCCCATTATTACCCATTGGCATGTCATGGGTCATAATGGTGTACAAGTGGGGCGACAATACTGAGCCCTGGGGTACTCCCGCTTGTGCCGTGTAAGGTCCTGTTATTGTCTTGTTAATTTTTACGTTAAATTGTCTGTCTGTTATGTATGAGTGTATTATTTTTACAATGTGGACGGGAAAATCACTCACAAGCATTTTGTGAATTAGACCGCAGGTCCAGACGGTATCAAAAGCTTTTTCACTGTCTAAAGCCACTAGTACCGTTTGCAGGTTATTATTTAATGCCTCTTTGGCATTGTGTACAATTCTAATAACCTGTGACACGGTACTGTGTCCACTTCTGAAACCGTACTGTTCCCGCGGTATAATTTGTAGTTCGTCTTCAATTTTGTGTAGTCTGTTAAGTATGATTTTGTCAACAATTTTAGCTACTGTGTTAAGCAACGAAATGGGTCGATAACTGTCAACATTTTTAGGGTTTTTCTTTGGTTTTACTATGGGGATGATGTTTGCTATCTTCAGACTGCTAGGGTAGTGTTGCAGCCTGAAGATTGCGTTTATAATGTAGTTTAATTGAATGTGAATTAGTTCTACAGCATTATACAGTGTGTCCACGGATGGACTTAACTATACTTGTGAAAATATTTATTTTAAATTAAAAAAAGTAATTCTTCATAATTTCTTTTACTTGTTAAATAAATTCGATTCACATTAAGAAATTATGAAAAATAATTTGTTGTTATTTAAAATAAATATTTTTACAAGTATAATTAAGACCACAGTACCACCCCCAATATTCGTAACATGAACTAATTTTGATAGATGTCATTTATGTGTCATAAATTAAGAATCCTTTTGTTCAGCAGATGGAGCAATATTCCATATTTAATAGTTCTTTTGTTCAACAGATGGCGTAATAATTTTATTAATTTTAAACGGTAACTGTTATGAAATAACACATTCATCACGCCTAGCTACTACGCGATAATAAGTAAACGAGTTCTTGACCTTGATAAATATTTTCGATGTAACAGGTATAAAAATAAAAGTTTGGGATTAAATTCGACACATCGGTATATTTACTTAGGACCGATTCCACCGTTGTGTTAAACGGAGTTTAAAATGATAATTTTACATTAACAATGTCATTTTAATTTAATTTAATCTCATTTATATGTAAGTTGGCGGCATCGACATACGGAAAACGTTTTTAAGAATTTTAAGAAAAAAACTTATTTTTCATAAACAATTGCATGGTCTATTAATTTTGGAAAAAAAGTTACTTTACATAAAAAGTTATGCATGGTCTAAAACCTAAAATTCAATCATCTGATAACAAATTTTATCAGTCGTATACAGTGTTTGTCGAAAATAAAGGTATTTTATATTTAGCAAAATTATATTTTTTGACAAACCTTGTAAAACCGACTGATAAAATTTGATATCGGGTGGTTGCATTTTCTGTTAGACCATGCATACATTTTTATGAAGAATTACTTTTTTTCGTAAAATGAATACCTAATAAAAAAGATTTCTATTTGCTATCAACTTACATAGACATACTGTGTGTATGCAATTTATGACATATTGCTGAGCTAATGTTTTTGTAAGAAAAAAGAAATTAATCATAAAATTTTACTTCATTTGTAGAGTCGTAATTTATGTTTTCATATTTGTACTTTTTTATTAATTTAGAATTACAGTACTATTTTCAATTATTATTTTAGATTAATCAATAAGAAAAATAAGCATTTTTGAAATATTAATAACTAAATACAAATTAAACAACAAATGAATAAAAAAGCATTTAAAACACGTTGACTGCCGAAGCAAATGTGTGGTTGGGTCTGTTGAGCCGAAGTAGTTTTTCTAAAAATTTAAGTCTGTTTTTACGTTTTAAGAGCAAAGTAGTTTAAGTAAATACTCAAGTAAACTAAAATATCTAATAGAAGCGTGAATAAAATATATAAACGCGGCGCAGGATTAAATTATTACATTGTTCAATATTTTAATTTGTGTTGTAGACACGTAAACAATTTCTAAATAAAAGTTATATGAATTTCAAAAATAGGTATTTTAAAGATATTTTTAGATATATAGGGTTTTGCGTTTTTGTCTGACAAATAAAACGGTATATTTTTTAAGTAGAAAAACCCTGTATTTTACTTCAGTTTTAGAATGCTTTAGTAATACTGTATTTAACCCTAGAATTTTATTAACAAATACTGCAGGGTTGCCAATAAATTAATTTTTTTATGAAATTAGAGAATGATTCAGACTCCAAATTAAATTATCATTATTTAGGTAGGTTTAAAATAATTTCAAATTTTTTTAAAATGTAGTAATAAGATACTAAGCTAACAAATAGTGATCATAGAACTGGATTATTTTATACAGTGTGTTTTGAAAAACAAGTCTTAAATATGGCTAATTCCAAGTTAAATTTATTTAATTTTTTTCAAATGCCACACCCTGTATATTATTTAAGCATGTTATGTTGATAATGGGGTGTTAATACACTGCGACCTAAAAGATCTATTGTGCCCCCTTCTGTCGCCACTGCACTAAGGAAATGTCTCAATGCCTATAGCGACCCTTCCAATCCTATTTTCTCAAGGAAGTGTAGGATTTTAAGTGGCTTCAAGTTAGGTAAGTCTCCCTCTTCTATTTGATATCCTCCTAGATATAGTGCCCTTGGATTCTGGAGTGCTACACATTCAGTTAGGATGTGAATGGAGGTTTCGTCCTCCTCCTCACAGAATCTGCACTCACTATCCTCTACTACTCTCAGTTTACTTAGGTGTCCTTTTAGTCGGCAGTGCCCGGTAAGGATCCCTGTTACAATACGTAGCCTGTTCTTGCTCAGGCAGATGCAGGCTTCCGATCTTTTTTGGTTATATTCACCCAGAAGTATCTTGGCCTGTCTCAGCCCCAAGAGATTGTTCCAATTATCGGTTCTTCTACTACCCAATTCTTTTTTAATCTCTTATAATATTATGTTACTGCTGATACCGCAGAACGGCTCAGGTCCTACAAAGGGTGTTTGAGCCCCTTTCCTTGCAAGACTATCTGCAATCTCGTTACCCTGTACCCCGTTATGTCCCGGGACCCAAGTGAGAGTAACTCTATTTTTCTCGCCTAGCTCATTCAATTGTTCTAGGCATCTCCATACCATTTTTGAGCTGATTACGTAAGAACTCAGCGCTTTGATGGCTGCTTGACTATTGGACATGATGATAATCTCTTGTCTATGATAGTTTCTCTCGATGTTAAACTGGATGCACTTCTCGATGGCGTGAATATCCGCCTGGAAGATGCTGGGGTATTTTCCCAAGCTTTCGGAGTGCTTGGTTCTCGGCCCATACACTCCTATTCCAGTTCCTTCTATGGTTTTGGAACCGTCCGTGTACCACTGAATAGCACGTCTTTCGGTTACAAGCGCGATGGATTCTTGGCTCCATTCTTTCTTGCAGCCCAGCTCTGTGGTTATTTAAGCATAACATTCCTTATAAATTAACATATCCAACGATACCAATAAGTTGATCGATAGCAGATAGAAAATACGAAAAAAATTAATATAAAAGTTGTATTTAACAATTATTTATAAATATACATGGTAATCCATAAACGATTGTCTGACCAAACCTATACATTTTTAAAGCAAAACACCCTGCAGGTAGTTATACATATTTGACAGTTTTCACATCGTCGAACAATAATTTTAATTTTATTCATTTGCTATGTTGTATATAGGGTGTGTCAAAATGGTCACGATTTTCTCAATTTTAGAATGGAACGCCCTGTATGTTATGCCACCAATTAATATAATATTCCATTGAAATAAAATTAAACATTTGTAACCTCGCGTGTTGACACACCCTATATATATATATATATATATATATATATATATATATATATATATATATATATACTTAAAGGCAAATCGTAGACACGTGTTTCTGACTATTGGTCTTCATCAGTACGGTGCAGCCAAGTTCAAAAGAGAATGGAACTAGCGATGAAATTAAATCAATAGGAGATCACTCAAGAAGCCAACCACACATTTGTGGACTGTGCTAGCATTCCCAGTGATTACTAGGAAAATATTAGCGTCGCCACGGAGGTAAGTTATAGCCGCTATGAAGATGCATCCAAGCCCAGGGAAAGTAAACAAGAGAAGGTTTAGTGCGGTGAAAAAATGTAAAAGATAAAAGGATTATTGGGCAAATACCGCAAAAAATGAAAAAAAAAATGCCTAAAGGCAAACCTTTTATCTTTTACATTTTTTCACCGCACTAAACCTTCTCTTATATATATATATATATATATATATATATATATATATATATATATATATATATATATATATATATATATATATATATATATATATATAACATAGCAACTGAATGAAGTCAATTAAAATTATTTGACGACGTGAAAACAATCAAATATGTATAACTACCTGCAGGGTGTTTTGATTTAAAAATGTATAGGTTTGGTCAAAATCTCGTTTATGGGCCACCCTGTATATATAGGAATAATTTTTAAATATGGTTATACAACTTTTATATTAATTTTTTTCTTATTTCCAATAATAAAACAGCTATCGATCAATTACGCACTGATGGGACACTCTGTATATATGTTATTCTCTAACATGTTAGTATCGTTGGATATGCAAATTTATAAGGAATTGTATGCTAAAATATTAAATCGGATGCTGCCTTTGAAAAAATAGAGTAATTTGACTTAAAAGTAACCATAATTAAGACATGTTTCAAAACACTCGCTATAAAAGAATCCAGCACTATCACTACTATTCGTTATCTTAATGTGCTATAAGTCAGTGTATTAAACAATTTTGAAATCAATGTAATCCTACCTAAATTATGAAAATTTAATTTGGGGTCTGCATCATTCTCTAATTTTATAAAAATTTAATTGCTTGGCAGACCTGTAATATTTTTTTAAATTATTCTAGGGTTGAATACAGTATTACCAAACCATTCTAAAATTGAAATAAAATACATGTTCTATTTTAAAAATATGCCAAGCAAAAATGTAACACCCTGTATATATCCAAAAATATTTTTAAAATATGTATTTTTTAAATCCATATAACTTTTCTTTGAAACATGTTTGCGTGTCTTTAACATAAATTAAAATATTAAACAATTACGCACTAATGGGACATACACACGGGTACATACACATAGCAGTCAACGTGTTAACTCAGATATAAGATTCCTTATAAAGATAAAATAACATTCAGAAGAAGAAAGCAAAGACCGCCAATATTACGTGCGTATCATACAATGATGCCAGGTCATTCGAATTTAATTTACACCGGAATGCAATAAAGTTCCTTCCCTTTCCTGCATTTCACAATTGTATATTTCACCCACTTTAAAATCAAATTCGTCCTAGAAAGAATTGTGAATCTGGCAACATGGTCAACACTTGTTCATACACAGGCAAAATCAATCGATAATTTGGAACCAAACGAGACAAATATATATGAAAATCACGAAACAATAAAAGACGGCATACAGCTGTATCACTGTTTCAAAAATTGGTACCTCTAAACAATCATTTGCCTATATATTAAAACCATCTCTAAAACTACATTGTTTTTACGATAACATCTTCTTAAAAATAGATGAATTACATGAACTATACACAATTACAGGAATTCATAGAAAATCTCTAATTTGACAAATACATTTATCAAATATTTGTTAATCGTATTTCCAGTTAGATTTTAAAAATACGCAATAAAATTTAGAAATATTTTGGTGGGATACTTGGAAAAATATGTAGAATGAAATCTCCTACTTTTTAGCCTCTGGTTTTAAAATCACTTTTTATGATTTTTTTTAAAATTCAGTGTATAAACAGGACAAATAAAAAATAGGAGATTTCTTTCTCCAAACCTTATACTTTAAGCTGGTAGAAGATTCATTTTAATACATTTAGCGGGATTTAAATGCAATCGGAAATGGTGAACACACACACACACACACACACACACACACACACACACACACACACACACACACACACACACACACACACACACACACACACACACGCACGCACGCACGCACGCACGCACGCACGCACGCACGCACGCACGCACGCACGCACGCACCCACGCACCCACGCACCCACCCACGCACGCACCCACGCACGCACCCACGCGCACACACACACACACGTACACACGTACACACGCACACACGCACACACACACACACGTACACACACACACACACACACACACACACACACACACACACACAAACACACACACACACACACACACACACACACACACACACACACACACACACACACACACACACAGACATCATCGCGAAAATAGTCAAAACAGATTCAGGGGACCTCAAAACGTAAAAATCAGTCGAAAACTCGAGGTCGAAAAAAATCATGATTCCTATACTTTCCATATATCTGTATAGAGATAGGAAAGTAAAAAACAATATCTTTTTGTCTCAGTAATTTAACAGGTCCACACTAAACCAGGAACCCGCACTAGCACTGAATTTATTTAATGTTATAAACCCGAACTGGGTTCAATAAAAAAAACTCGCACCGAGTTGGGGCACTACTTTTGGAATCCCATGTGATGTGATTCGAAAGAAAAAAGTAAGTAGTTTACCATCGTCCGCCATATAGAAACCTCTCATTATGTTATGGCCCTACCTGGAATCCCATGTAATGTGATTCGAAGGAAGAAAGTTCGGATGTTCGAAAATGCTATTAAAAAATTAGTTTTAGCAGGTCCACACTGAACCTGATAATCACTCTGGGTTCTAGATTTGCACTCAGTCTATTTAATCCGCTCTGGAAAGAAAAAGTATGTCCATTTAATTTTCTATGTCTAAATATTCTGCTATTTACGTCTTCGTTAGAAACGCTCCCGATGAAGATTTCTTCCCTTCTGTTTGTTGTTTCTTAAGTGTTTTTACTTTCTTATTTAAACGACACAATTTTGAGTCGTTGTCCGGAGTTTCTGAATATAAATAATATTTTCCTATATTTTAATAAAATTTAAAATATTTTCGATTTGACGTGTGTACACAATATGAAAAGTGATAGCTACTCCCGCAAAATGCGGGAACTACATAGAAAGTGAAGTTATAAGTTTTGGCTTTGAAGTATGGTGCACGACTAGCTCATAAATGAGTACTACGTTTACTTATCATCTGAGGAAGGGAGCGCGTGTATAATGATAAAGATAACATGGATTGGATACAGTACTTAAGTACAGAGTACAAGTACTCTTCCCAAAAAGTACTCGAGTACCAAGTACATAACGTAGAAAAGCACACTTAATGAGTACTCGAGTACTTTTGTAAGTACAGAGTACCAAGTACATTAATAATTAATTTTTTATTGTATAATCTTATGGCTTTTGTATACTATATGAATATACTAGTATAGGTTTAAATATTAGATATCCACAGTCGGGCAACTAAATACTAAGTACTACAGAAAATTTTGTGTTGTGTTTAGTTGATTAACTCTGGATATGACCACAATAAAACAATAAAATCTATACCTTTCTAGGAACCAATTTTATTTGCCTTTAATATTACAAGTTTTTCAAAATTTGCATCAGTAAGAGCATGGCGACGAGGGTCGTTTAACATTGTTGCAAATGAAAAAAGTCGCTCCACTGCAGCAGAAGATGGTAAACATGTATTATACCGTATAAAAACTTTTTTTATTGTTGGGTAGTCATCCAGCATGGACAGATCGGTTCTCTTATCCTCAGGATAATGTAAACGCTCCAACTCAACTTTTGATCTTCTTTTACCGTGTTTGTTTACTTTCTTAGATTTCTTAGATTCTGATGTTTCGATTTCGACAAAATAAAAAAAACGTCATATTCGTTTTCAGCATCGTGTTCATTACTATCATTGCTACCATTGTCATTATCAACATTTTCAGAATCTAACAGCCGTTCAGCACATGAAATAAATGTTTGTTTTACACTGTCCCGTGAGATTCCTGTCTGGGACTGTAGCTTACTTTTTAGGGTGTTGAACCACCGAAGTTTAAATTTTGGACAAGGAACTGCGGCTATTAGTGCTTCTTCACATTCTAAATGAAGAAGAGAGGAAAACCGTTTAAACAGTGCCTCAAGACATGCGTCCAAAATCAAATTTGCACTGTAATGTCTAGGGCTCTGGAAATCGACTTTCATATTCTTCCATTTGTTGGCTAATGAAGTCAATGTTGGAAGTATATAACCAAAGTAAGTATTAGTTTCACCCTGTAGTATGTCCAAAGCTGTCGTCAAAGGCTTTAATACTTGACAATAATCTTCCAAATACTGGATTTCAGTTTCTTTAAAATAGGGGAGGCCCAGCCTTTGTTGTAAAGTAGCCAGTTTTGGTATCGTATCTTCATGCAAAATCCGAGATATGCAGTCGAAATGGGAATCTGTCTCAAGTCAAATGGACCACCCGGTATATTGCTTTTTATTCAGTTTTATTTAGATTTATTCCTCCCTTCAAAAACCAACATTTCTTATATGTTTAATAGTGTTTGAGTTTCAAAGATAAAAATAGTGCCAATACCTAACCTACAAAGTTAGATTAAAACAGATTATTTTTCTGCATAAACCAAACCAATCTGTGTATAATATAATGATTAAAACCTTTACAGCCTTCTGTAGATAGAGGTATTTTTTAGACACAAAGTACCTAAATACGTAATCACTTACCTTTACAAATAATTGAGTTTCATAAATTTACACGACAAAGATTGAATAATTTATACGATAAAGTTCACTAACAACTTCGGCTGATCGGCAATTTTAAAACACTACCGTCTCCGGCTACCGACAAATCGAATCAAATATTGCACGTGGCAGTTGGAACAGACAGACTGAGATTGAGACAAGTCTAAACAAATATGAACTGCGCAATATTTGTATTTGTGTGAAGTACTTAAGTACATTCAAAAGTACTTAAGTACATTCAAAAGTACTTAAAGTACTTATTTGTCTGAAATACTTAAGTACATTCAAAAGTATTTACAGTACTCTAAAATATACTTGAGAACAAACGTTCTCAATACAGTGAAAGTACAAGTACAAATACATAGGATCCTAATGTACTCTGGACTGAGTACCAAGTACACTAAATGTACTTAGAGTACAGCTATCGAGTACTTGTACTTGAATACCGCACAGCTCTGATTGGATATAATAGGAATTATGAAGTGGCTATATGAAACCAAACGTATATGATCAGTGACGAATGTTGTAAATAGAATTTGAGATACATTTGCACAATAATTTAACAGTATCCGAACACCGAAAAAAGTATCCGGTTACCGGATAGATACAAATTTGGATACAGATACCGAATAGAAAATTTGAAAAATACCCGAATAAAACTTTCGGATACATATAAAGTATCCGGATGCTACTGTATCTAGATACAGTATCCGGATACAGTACCAAACTCTGCCATGGACAGATACCCTGTATAATGCTGTAGAACAACTTTCAAGAAAAAGTAGTGTAAAATTACTAGTTTGATGTTTTCGAACTTTTTGAAACCTCTATGAGATGGACTATAAAAGTATAGCAGTTGCGGACATTTGGTGATTGCTTGGATGTTAGGGTTAAATTAAAGGTATATTGGCATGCGAGCTTAAAGATCCTGGAATTTCCGCCTATTGATGTAGATAGGATGTTTATGTGCTAGTTACAATACCTATCAAATGAGGTGTTACTCATCACAATGATTCCATTCAAAATTAATGGTCAAAATGGTAGCGTAACTTAATTTTTAAAGGTTATGTTATGTCATATAGGGGAAGGAACTTGGACGTGCACTATATCTCCGCACTCATTTATATAGTAGCGAGCTGTAATTATTAAGCTGCAATTGATAAGCGTTTACCGAAGGTGTTTACCCAGTGGTCCACGGTCATAACCAAATTTTCAAAAAAGCCAAAAATCAAATTAAATTTTGAACATTTATTTAACTTACTTTTTATGAAAATAAAAATCCACATTTTCTGGAATATAGATATATTTTTTGCATACACTTACCGATATTATGTTATTTTTGAAGATTTCTTCATATGTTCACCAAATAATATACTGAACCAACTACTAAGTATTATACAAACAATGCACCGTTAATTTATTTAATAAATTTTTAGTCTATTATAGATTTTAAAGAAAAAATACTACACTACAATAAAAAACAATGCAACTTACACATACAAATGTCTAGATTTCATACCAATATGACGAATGTTTATATAACGTGATATTCTCTCGATCTTTTCCCACTTCCGTGTTTCATGATTCCAATCTACTTTTCTGTTTTCCCAAAGTTCGTAGTCATGAAGTAAAGTACCGAAGTACGAGCAGAGTGAGATTTGAAATAAAAAATGACAAATAGAAACAATTGAAACCTTTTTTATACGGATGAAAAATACAAATAGTGACCAATAAAAATGGAAATTAAGATACGTGATAATTGTGTACAAAATTTTAAGGAATCAGATTAATAATACAGTGTTTGATATGTACTGGATCCGCAACTTCATTTTTTGGACGCCTGCTGAACTAAACTACAATAAATCTATTATATTTTTTTTTAAATATATTTCTATATAATAATATATTAAAATATTATACAGCAAAGAATATTGGCCCATTTTTTAACAGTCGATATTAATTATTAAATTATTTTATTTTGTTTTTAAGATTACAGCATGGTACATTTTTTTCATGGACACAAGTGACCTGTTTAAAATGTTTTGTTTTTTAAGTGGATTCTTGGAAAAAAAGCTAATTGCTTTTATTTTAAATTACCAGTTGCTATTTTTGTTACATTAAATTACACCAGGTATGTAATGTTTGGAAAAATATAAATGTATCAAATAAAACACAACTCAACAAATGACAAAAAAAGTCGGTTTAAATTAAATGAATACCTATTGACAGCGAAGATGCTGCAATAAAGACAATCTTAAAAATGATCTGAAAGTGCATTAATTGAATTTAAAAAATTGGCAAAACTTGCAAAGCTGGCATTTTTGTAAATTATAAAATAAATAGTTATTTATTATACAAGGGAAAAATCTAATATTTTTCCCGTGTATAATACACAATTTTTTCTGTGACAAAAAAAACGTTTTACTATTAAAAAAAAATTCTAAAATCTACCTTTACTTATGTGGATATATATCTGGGCAAAAGTACTCACAAAAAAAGTAATTTAATAAAAATGATATTCTGTTACGTGACAAGAGAGATAAAATGTAAACTTTTTTCCCGTAACAGAAAAATTTTTTTGACACAAAGCCTTAACTTTTTTGAAAGCGAAATATTTTTTGGACTACTGTAATTTGTACCATGCTTTGGAATTATTAAAATTCATTAGTGAAAACAGGATCTTAGTTTAGGATAAATATTCTTTGGAACAACCAGTATTATACTTTTATAAATGGACGTTTTATAAGTTATTTTCAATTCCATTGGTATTTAATTTCGAGTTTTGTATTCTTATGGTAGCTTTTGGGGTTTGAACTTTTATTTGTGGGATTGCCAGTACTGCTTTCTGTGTTTCTTCAAGTTTTCCCAAGTTTTCTGCCACTTGTTCCTAAAACAACCATCACTTAATTCAGTAAGTTAAAAATAACTATTAAATAATTTATTTTGTTATTTCTCTGAACACTTCAGGAGAAATCCAAGGTACAACTCAATAAATACTTTCACGACAAAATAATTTGGAGGAATCGTTAAACGTTATATTCTAGGTCCGGTAATTTGTGAGATGTTTAACACAAAACCAAATTTCAACAGAATTTGGATACTTTATGTAATGATTATAATAATTTAATCATGATTTATTGTGGGCATATCGCTGTTATATTTAACAACTTTTTTTTTTCATTGAATAAACAAAGTTTGAGAATTAATGGGTCTACGTTTTTAATTTTATAGTTTAAAACTCTTGTTTCAATGCGAATTTGACAATAAAAGTCGATTCTCACTAGGTGCTCCGGTCACACTACGCTCACTATCCGCTCACTGTCAAGGATTAGAGGTAATATTCACATACTACACTCAACTGGCGCTTTTTTAATATTTACATTCAACTAAAAGATATATAAATGCAAGTTGTACTAATATCTATAATAATGTTACAAAATACAGTTAGGTCAAAGAGAGCGAAATATCTATTATTATATTTATGAGAAAAAAATAGTTTTGGCAATCAAAACCGAAACTACAAATAGAACAGTTTTTATCTTCAAAGATTTTGTCGTGGACAACCTCTTCATACTTAGATGTTTTTTCTTTTCAGATATTTAGCAACAGGAGATTCATTTCGAACTATTGCCTTCAGATATCGCCTTAGCCATTGCACTGTCCAAAAAATTGTAAGGGATGTTTGTACTGTAATAATATCAAACCTTATATAAGAATGCATCTCAGCGGTTGAGTGCCAACTGATCGCGTCTCCGGATGGTGGATAGGAGAACGGCTAGGTTTTTACCTGGTTGATGATAGACATAAGTAGAGTGCGAGAGCCTAAGTTCTTTTGCGAAGGCTACCGCCGCGAACCAACTCCCCCAATCTAAGGTGTAAGGTAAAGTGCCGACGGATGAATTGTCTCAGGGGCAGATGCGGTAGTAAACGCTCCCCTGAGGAAACCTGGCGACACCCTCTTGTATCTAGTCTTGCCGGCTCATGCTGGGCTCTGCGTCGGTCGACCTTTCCTTACTTAGCTACTTGTGGGAACCATATAGATTCAAGAACATAGAAACAACCCAAAGAGGCTGGACGTCAACGCTCACCTCCAGCAAAGAAGACTGGACATCGAAGTCCATTTCCGGCGCAGAAGGCTGGACAGTGACGATTACATCAAAAAAAGTAGGATGAACGTCAACGCTTACTTCCTGCAAAGGAGCCTGGATAACAAAGTTCAGCTCCCATCCAACTAACAGGTCCCGGAGAGGCAAAATAATCTCTAGGTCTAAAGCAGACAGACAGTGCTATGGCAACTGCCACCCTCAGCAAACTCCCTCATTCCAAACAAAACAAAAGAGGCCAGGAACACGACGCAACTAAGGACAAGAAAATGCCGCGATCTCACAGATCTTCCGAAGGAGAAAACCCGACGCAAGTTCTGCCTGGGATAAGCTACAACGATGCAGCTACGAGCCACCTGAAAGTAGCTATAATAAACAAGGATAACTCTTGCGGTGAGATAACTACCGAAAGAGAAATCCTTGTTAAAAAGACACTGATGGGAGAGCTGGACAAAACAATGTTGTCCACCTCCTGCAGCAAAACCAAGCCACCCACATTCAGGTCTTGGTCGTACTCTGGTGTAATTATCAGAGTAACTTGCGACGATGACCTGACGTTGGAATGGCTAAAAACCAAGGTACTAACCTTAAAAACATGGGAAGGAGCAACACTCGCTGTTGTAAGGATGGACGAGCTCCCCAAGCTCACCAAAGCCTCTCTCTGGATCCAAGGGGAAGAGAAAGCTGACCTTGACGAGAAAAAGGTTGTGCTCAGAAGACTTGAGGGGCAAAACCCAAACTTGCATGTGGCGAAATGGTGCACCTTCCACCATGAAATCAAAAAAGACTCTAAGGGCCATCTCTTCAACATCGGAGACGAAGACATGGGAACCCTAAAGGCCAAATCAATAAGGATGAGCTATGAGTTCACCTCATTGATTATAAGGCCAATGGTCGAAAAAGAGGCTGAAGCGGGGCCCAGTAAAGACTCCTTAATAAATTACCCTCTTTCCCCCCAATTTAAGCCAACAATGGAGGACGTCGAGCAAGAAGAAATGGCAATCGATGACCTTCAGCAAGAAAATTCCGAGGAGCCACAAGAGACCAACAGAGGACCAGGAAGCAATAAAAGAGGTCATGAATATACAATGTAACTTGCAGAACAAAAGGGTGGCTACGGCAACATTATGCCGCTGCCTTGATGAGCTGCGAGATACAATAGCACTCATCCAGGAACCCTAGATAGTAAAAACCAAAATTTTAGGTCTTAAAAATCTGAAAGGTTCAATTTTTAGCTTTCCCAGCAACCAAAAGCCTAGCACAGCCATTAATATTCCTAGGAAATACAAAGCCCACTCAGTGGCACACCTTTCCACCTCCGATTTAACTGCGGTTAGGATGAAAAACGCTATCAAAAGGGAAAACAGAAGAGGCTTGGTTTCGAGGCGATGTCCACAGAGAGACGTGCTATCACCTCTACTGTGGAATTTCTAATGAAATAGCCCCTCAAACTCATCTAACTGGACCAACCACGCCAGAGTTGTTGCATCGGCTGTCGCATTAGAATAAGCGAGGTTGCTGCTAATTTTGTGAGTGGTGATGGTTTATGCGAGTTTGTTTATCCGAGGTGCGAGTACGTGTTTTGTAAATAAATCAGTACTTAAGACTACGATATGCTTGCTTTACACTGCTGTAACACTTCAAAATAAATTGCGTACTTTCCTGGAAATCACCTTCAACTATCATAGTTGCAACGAGAAAAATAAATTAAAGTGATAATAACTGGTATTAAGAAGGCCAATTTACTTTTTTAATGGTCTCTCACTTACTTTGTCTTAATAATTTGACTACATGAATAACACTGTGAATCATGAATACTTGCAATTCAATTTTTGTAAACAAAATAAGTCTAGTAGGTGTTCGTCGTTACACTAGATGCGTAAATCCCTTAGAGGTACAGCTAAAAATTAACAAAAATAAAGAGTAACGAGCCTTCTTTGCGCGGCGCATGGCAGATTCAGTGCGCCGAATAAATCCGACGAACGGCTGGTTGTTGATTGAGATCAGGCATGCTTTGCCATATATATACGCACGAATATTTTTAACAGGAACGGCCGCAGGATGAAAGTTCAATTATTGTATTAAAACCGAATTTACAGATTTCGATTACATTGAAAGCAGTGCAACAGCTCTTAACGATGTAAAAATAAACAATTTTTACTAACAGAACCAAACAAAGTACTAGTTTTTACTTATAACTTACCAAATATTGATTTAGATGTTCGTTCACCGATTTTAAACCAACAATCAATAAGTGTCCTTGGATTTTGATAATAGACAAAACTTTCTTCTGGACCTCCTCCATATGATAAGTCTAAGAAACCAAATATATTAACCAAGTCGGTTTTTGATGCAGTCAGAATGTAAAAATATATTTAAAAAGTATAAATAGTAATTTTTAATCTGAAAATGGTCATGATATGATTAAGTTGATCTGTATATACATTGCGAAGAATTATTTGATTTGGGGCCCCAAGCGTGATTTGTTGATCTGGGACAACTTGACGCAACCGACTCGACAATAAGACAACTCGTCGGACAAAACAATTCCACGAATTAGGCAATCCAAAACCTGTTAGAACGGTCAAAAATGGCCGGCAATTAGCAAAAATAACAAATATTATTGACCTGACTTTCTGATTATTATTTGATTCTTATTATAAATCATACATATAATATTCATATATTCTTAAATAATTTTTCAACTAAACACACCGAAAAAACTTTAAAATAATGAAAAAATAATTAATACACTTGGACTAATAAACTCACTAGAAATATCACAAAACATTTAATTTTGTTATTTTTGCCAATCATCCATCATTAAAAGTCACCGGATTTGGATTGCCTAATTATGAATATCTCAGAGTAAGAAAGTGTCAAGAAAAAGTAAACGTTTGGTATCGCCATGATACTATATCATATATCATATATCATATATCATATATCATATATCATATATCATATATCATATATCATATATCATATATCATATATCATATATCATATATCATATATCATATATCATATATCATATATCATATATCATATATCATATATCATATATCATATATCATATATCATATATCATATATCATATATCATATATCATATATCATATATCATATATCATATATCATATATCATATATCATATATCATATATCATATATCATATATCATATATCATATATCATATATCATATATCATATATCATATATCATATATCATATATCATATATCATATATCATATATCATATATCATATATCATATATCATATATCATATATCATATATCATATATCATATATCATATATCATATATCATATATCATATATCATATATCATATATCATATATCATATATCATATATCATATATCATATATCATATATCATATATCATATATCATATATCATATATCATATATCATATATCATATATCATATATCATATATCATATATCATATATCATATATCATATATCATATATCATATATCATATATCATATATCATATATCATATATCATATATCATATATCATATATCATATATCATATATCATATATCATATATCATATATCATATATCATATATCATATATCATATATCATATATCATATATCATATATCATATATCATATATCATATATCATATATCATATATCATATATCATATATCATATATCATATATCATATATCATATATCATATATCATATATCATATATCATATATCATATATCATATATCATATATCATATATCATATATCATATATCATATATCATATATCATATATCATATATCATATATCATATATCATATATCATATATCATATATCATATATCATATATCATATATCATATATCATATATCATATATCATATATCATATATCATATATCATATATCATATATCATATATCATATATCATATATCATATATCATATATCATATATCATATATCATATATCATATATCATATATCATATATCATATATCATATATCATATATCATATATCATATATCATATATCATATATCATATATCATATATCATATATCATATATCATATATCATATATCATATATCATATATCATATATCATATATCATATATCATATATCATATATCATATATCATATATCATATATCATATATCATATATCATATATCATATATCATATATCATATATCATATATCATATATCATATATCATATATCATATATCATATATCATATATCATATATCATATATCATATATCATATATCATATATCATATATCATATATCATATATCATATATCATATATCATATATCATATATCATATATCATATATCATATATCATATATCATATATCATATATCATATATCATATATCATAAATACTCAAATATTATCGAATATGCTCTACTAATATACATTATATTTTTTTATTGAATAAAAAATAAAGGTTACACGATATTTGATTTAAAAATATAGTTTTTTTTTACGATCACTATCCAAAGTAGGCTTCTGCATATTCAAATCTAACTAGAAAGTTTGTCATTATTGCCGCATACAGGTGGAAAGTTACTTTTTGCACACGCCTATTTTCATTAGAAAATTTCATTAGAAAGGTTGTTATTATAAAGCTAAACGGTATCTAAAAATATAATGTAAACTCATTTTCCTTAATATTCAAATGATAATTAAAATATTAGGAATAAATTACCCTGTTTTTAAAACTCATATTTAACATGTCTTGTTGGTGTAGAGCCTAGCGGGTTTGTCTTTAAATCTGATGGTCGTAAGTTCAATCCTCACCAGTTGTTATTTATTTTTTTTTTATTTGATTTTTTGTTTGTAAAATTAAATAAAACTGAAAACAGTGTATGAGCCATTAATTTGCGATTTGAGTATTTATTCTAACCGTTGATCTTGTAAGTTATTTTTAAGATGTACTTACTAACAAATGTTTTTTATGAGTATCATAAAATTAATCCTATAGTTAACAGGTAACACAATATACTATACACAACATACTTTTCGTTTGCTAGTCAAGTTAGCCGTGGCTGTCAAATTAACGTAGTAAGATTTGAATCCGGCAAAATAAAACTATATAATTTTAATATAGTGTGATCGTAGAAAAAATCTTGTGTGTAATTCGAGAGGAAAGCACTTTCCGCTCTTAATACACAAACAACTATTGTATCTTAATATTTTTTCGAATAAAACAGAAAATAAATTTAATAATTCATGTTTTTTTAAACATTTTAAATCAATTTTACGCATGCGCATTAGTTTTAAAATGAGATGACACACTGCGTCCTTGTCTCATGGACGGTGTGATGTGCTAACTTTCTGTCGCTCTTATGTATTTTTAAGAGTTAGCAAGGTCTATTTGCGGGCACTTTTCCATTGGCAACCGCATTTCATCGCGAAGAGATAAAAATTAGCTTTAATTTTATTACGATACATTATGAACGCATAAATTAAACAAAGTTGTACCTGTTTATACCTGGCTGACAAGAGGTTGCGGCTAAGTGAAAATGGATAACTCGAAACTGTACACATTATCTCTCTTTGAAATGAATTATAATTTATCTTCAAAAAAAAAAAAAATGAACGAAATTATTTATAAAAAAATTATATTTAAATGTATTCAAAAGTTTCTCTATCAGTTTATTACCTATAAAAATATTGATTAAAAAAGAAGTGAGTGTGGTAATCGCATGGTCGGATCTTAGACTATTAGATATGAATTATGAACAAATCGGGTGTAGGCTATTATGATGATGAATGATGGTAATGATTTAATTAATTCAAACATTCATGGACAGAGAATTTTAAGTCCTCGAAGTCTAGACCTACAAATAAAAACGAATATATATGAGGATTTTAGATAAATTATTCCTTAATACGACATAAAATAATCTAATTAGAAAAACTGTCTTAAATACAGTAAGGAGTTTTGGTTCTGTTAGTAAAAAAGGTGTTATCAATAAATAAATTCAGTTTCCAACAAAAATTTCGATCCTTCAGATTTTAAATTTAAATGTAAACAACATTTTTTTTATTAGTTATGTCCCAGTATTTAAAAAT